TTATCTGTCCCCCCCACCCACCCCCCACCCCAAAAAAAGTAACTTACTTGATATTTCAACTATCCCCATGGTAATTCGGGCATCTTGGATGGAAGCATTACCGAGAGCTATGCTGAGATTTTTAAATGAATCTGAGTCATTAAAGATTTTTTCCAGGGTGGGTCCCAAATCGTTATTTAGAAACATTATTTGTGAGTTGTTGTTGGGATAGTTGTACACTGCAATACTTTCAGCAATGACACTTCCGTTCCTAGATGAGAAAAATACACGCCACATATTAATGTCTTTTGCTTAGCAAATATTTGTAAATGTATGAAATTCGAGAGAAATCAACTTACCTTAGCCTTTTTACAAAGGATTGAAAGCTGTCAAAAAATAAAAATAAAAAACATTTTCTGAATATAAATATTGATCCATAATACATTTTGCAAATATAATAAATATATATAATAATATAATAATTATAATTTATATAATAAATATAAATGATTACAAAATAACCTTCATGATGCCATCAAACTTTTTGATTTATGTCTAATGAATAAGATTACTAAGTAGGGTTGTCCAAGTCAACGTATGCATTATTGCAGTAAATGCATTTTACATCTAATTTGACTTCAGACCTTTTTCACTTCTGTTAAGTTTTAAATGACTTTTAAAGTTGTCTACTGCAAATAACATTGATACATTTTAAAGTGTGGCTTAAGAGTCTGACTACTTTTGAGGCCACTGAATTAATACACAATGTGAAATAATTGTGAGCAAATTTGTGATCTTTAAAGTACTTCAAGAAAAGGAACTAGAAAACTTTACCTCACGTTTTAAGATGGAAATTAGTTTTTTTGATTCTGGAGAGTTCACATCTTCATACTGTGTAAGATAGTGCATCATAATTTCGAGAGAGATACTTGCATTCCTTGTGGGTATGCTTTCAGCTGCAATTAAGGTGAAGATTTAGAAAGATTTCAACATAAGTGTGCTGGAAATTGTGACAATTATTGTGCTAAGTATTTTTGTAATTAAAAATCGGATGTCTGTGGGTTGTATCATGTTTTAGCTCTAAAGCATATGCACAAATGTTTTAGCTAAAATGTGACACAACCCACAATACAACTAACTTAAATGGTCACACTTCACAACTTGTTAACAACAAGTATCTTGGGTGCTAATTTAATATTGATTCAATGCCCACAGCACAGTGAAAAAAAATAATTTACAATGAATATGTAAAATAAGAAAGAAAGTAGAGAACACAAAGTGTAATAATGATCATTTAGGAATAGTATGATCAAATACTCACACCAAGTAACTGTTGATGAGCCATTTACTAAAATGGGGGAAGTTGTAGCGAGTGAGGCAGGTGAGTCTGGAGAACTTGATCCAATGGTTTCCAGTGGTGGAAATGTCGAATGAATTGACTGTGTTGAATGTATTTCTGTGCTTGAAATTGAAGTAGTGGTTTGTGTCTGCTGACTTGTTTGTTCAGCAGTGGTTGTGCTCAGAGGGGACAAAGTTGTTGTAAATGTTGTTGGAGCTAATGTTGTAGATTCAGTTCCAGTGGTAGAAGTATACTGAATGGTTTGTGTCAGCGGGCTTGTTGTTTGTTCTACACTAGATGAAGATATTGCTGTAGATGAAGTAAATTCTGACGTCGTCTGACCTTCTGTTTTAGACGATGGTGAAGATGCAGAAATATCTGATGTGGATGATGTTGTTTCCAGTGTTGAGCCACTTTCAGGTTTTGATGATTCTAATGTGGTCGTGCTTATAGGAGACACAGCGGGTGTAAATGTTGATTGACTTGTCGCTGCAGATTCTTTTTCTGTGGTAGTACTTAACTGAATGGTTTGTGTCTGCTGGCTTGTTGTTTGTTCTACACTAGATGAAGATATCGCTGTTGTAGATGAAGTGAATTCTGCTGTTATCTGTCCGATTGTTGTAGATGATGGTGAAGATGGAGTAGAATCTGTTGTGGATAATTTAGTTGCCACTGTTGATCCACTTTCACTTGTAGATGATTCTGTTGTGGTTGTGCTCAGAGGGGACACAGCTGTTGTAAGTGTTGATTGACTTGTTGTTGCAGATTCTTTTTCTGTGGTAGTACTTAAGTGAATGGTTTGTGTCTGCTGGCTTGTTATTTGCTCTGCACTGGATGGAGATGTTTCTGTTGTTGATGAAGTGAATTCTGATGTACTTTGTCCTTCTGCCATAGTAGATGGTGAAGACGGAGACGTACCTGTTGTGGTTAATGTTGATTCCGCTGTTGATCCACTTTCACTTGCAGATGACTCTATTGTGGTTGTGCTCATAGCGGACACAGCTGTTGTAAATGTTGATGGAGCTAATGTTGTAGATTCTGTTTCAGTGGTAGAAGTATACTGAGTGGTTTGTGTCTGCTGGCTTGTTTTTTGCTCTAAACTAGATGAAGATATATCTGTTGTAGATGAAGTGAATTCTGATGTTTTCCATCCTTCTGTTGTAGATGATGCTAAAGATGGAGTAGTATCTGTTGGGAATGATGTTGTTTCCAGCGTTGAATCACTTTCACTTGTTGATGATTCTGATGTGGTCTTGCTCATAGGGGACACAGCTGTTGTAAATGTTGATTGAGCTGTTGTTGCAGGTTCTGTTTCTGTGATGGCAGACTGAGTGGTTTGTGTCTGCTGACTTGTTGTTTTCTCTGCAGTGGATGGAGATATTACTGTTGTAGATGAAGTGAATTCTACTGTTGTTTCTCCGATTGTTGCAGGCGATGGTAAAGATGGAGTAGAATCTGTAGTGGATAATTTAGTTGCCGCTGTTGATCCACTTTCACTTGTAGCGGGTGTAAATGTTGATTGACTTGTCGCTGCAGATTCTTTTTCTGTGGTAATACTTAACTGAATGGTTTGTGTCTGCTGGCTTGTTATTTGCTCTGCACTGGATGGAGATGTTTCTGTTGTTGATGAAGTGAATTCTGATGTACTTTGTCCTTCTGCCGTAGTAGATGGTGAAGACGTAGACGTACCTGTTGTGGTTAATGTTGATTCCGCTGTTGATCCACTTTCACTTGCAGATGACTCTATTGTGGTTGTGCTCATAGCGGACACAGCTGTTGTAAATGTTGATGGAGCTAATGTTGTAGATTCTGTTTCAGTGGTAGAGGTATATTGAGTGGATGGTGTCTGCTGGCGTGTTGTTTGTTCTACATTAGATGAGGATATCTCTGTTGTAGATGAAGTGAATTCTGATGTTGTCTGTCCTTCTGCTGTAGACGATGCTAAAGATGGAGTAGTATCTGTTGGGAATGATGTTGTTTCCAGCGTTGAACCACTTTCAGTTGTTGATGATTCTGATGTGGTCTTGCTCATAGGGGACACGGCTGTTGTAAATGTTGATGGAGCTGTTGTTGTAGATTCTGTTTCAGTGGTAGAAGTATATTGAGTGGTTTGTGTCTGCTGGCTTGTTGTTTGTTCTACAGTAGATGAGGATATCTCTGTTGTAAATGAAGTGAATTCTGATGTTGTCTGTCCTTCTGTCGTAGTAGATGGTGAGGACGGAGACGTACCTGTTGTTGTTAATGTTGATTCCGCTTTTGATCCACTTTCACTTGCAGATGTCTCTATTGTGGTTGTGCTCATAGCGGACACGGCTGTTGTAAATGTTGATGGAGCTAATGTTGTAGATTCTGTTTCAGTGGTAGAAGTATATTGAGTGGTTTGTGTCTGCTGGCTTGTTGTTTGCTCTGCAGTGAATGCAGATATTACTGTTGTAGATGAAGTGAATTCTACTGTTGTTTCTCCGATTGTTGTAGATGATGGCAAAGATGGAGTAGAATCTGTAGTGGATAATTTAGTTGTCGCTGTTGATCCACTTTCATTTGTAGATGATTCTGTTGTGGTTGTGCTCAGAGGGGACAAAACTGTTGTAAATGTTGATTGACTAGTGTCTGTATATTCTATTTCTGTGGTAGTACTTAACTGAATGGTTTGTGCCTGCTGGCTTGTTGTTTTTTCCACACTAGATGAAGATATCTCTGTAGATGAAGTGAATTCTGACACTGTCTGTACTTCTGTTGTAGACAAAGGTGAAGATGGAGAAGTATCTGATGTGGATGATGTTGTTTCCAGTGTTGAACCACTTTCAGTTTTTGATGATTCTAATGTGGTCGTGCTTATAGGGGACCCAGCGGTTGTAAATGTTGATTGACTTGTCGCTGCAGATTCTTTTTCTCTCGTAGTACTTAACTGAATGGTTGGTGTCTGCTGGCGTGTTGTTTGTTCTACACTAGATGAAGATATCTCTGTTGTAGACAAAGTGAATTGTGACATCTGTCCTTCTGTTGTAGACGATGCTGAAGATGGAGTAGAATCTGTTGTGGATGATGGTGTTTCCAGTGTTGAACCACTTTCACTTGTTGATGATTCCATTGTGGTTGTGCTCATAGGGGACACAGCTGTGGTAAATGTTGATTGAGCTGTTGTTGCAGGTTCTGTTTCTGTGCTGGCAGACTGAGTGGTTTGTGTCTGCTGGCTTGTTTTTTGCTCTGCAGTGGATGGAGATATTTCTGTTCTAGATGAAGTGAATTCTGCTGTTGTTTGTCCGATTGTTATAGACTGTGGTGAAGATGGAGTAGAATCTGTTGGGAATGATGTTGTTCCCAGTGTTGATCCACTTTCACTTGTAGATGACCCTATTGTGGTTGTGCTCATAGGGGACACACCTGTTAAAACTGTTGATGGAGATAATGTTGTAGATTCTGTTTCAGTGGTAGGAGTATATTGAGTGGTTTGTGTCTGCAGGCTTGTTGTTTGTTCTACACTAGATGGAGATATTTCTGTTGTTGATGAATTAAATTGTGGTGTACTTTGTCCTTCTGTTTTAGTAGATGGTGAAGATGGACCTGTTGTGGATAAATAAATATGTAAAGATATTTACAAAATATTTACAATATTTAGAGTCTGTTTGTGTGGTAGAACTAAACTGAGTGGTTTGTGTCTCCTGGCTGGTTGTTTGTTCTACACTAGATAAAGATATTTTTGTTTATTAATTCAGTTTTGACATCCTCTGTCCTTCTGTTGTAGAGGATGGTGAAGATAAATAGGTGGCTAAAGTGAAAAGAGTAGTTTAAGTTTTTTGGACATGTTTTTCTACATTATTTTAAGGTATTTTGTTAGTGTGTGAAATAAAATCTAGCATGCTTTTTACTTCTTTCACTGAAGATGTTTTAATTTTGGGGGGTTCTTCTTGATATTGGATTTTTAGACTTTGATCCGCTTTGTAGTTGTTTGAAGGATGTGCTTCTGAGAAAAGTTAAAATAGTTGTTTGTGTTGATTATTATTGTTAAAGTGGGAATCAGTTTTGGAAGTTGTTGTAACTGCATTATTTTAAAAGTATCTTTTTTGTTTAAATTTGACTTTAATATTTATTTTCCTTACTGACTTTTTTGTCTTGCATGGAGTTTTTACATGTCTTTCACAATCCTAAGATATTATTTTAATTTTGTATTAACATTAATATTTGTCCAAAATATACTAAATTTACATTATAGAGCTTTGTCAGTATGTATATTTGTCACATACCTCAATACCTTAGAGTATTTATAGCATGGGTGCTATGAATAAATCATCACTCTTTGTGTACTAGTTTAACAGCATCCAACTTGATTAAATTACAAATTGATTGCTGATATGTCAAATATTATTTTTAGGCAATTTGTAAGTCAGAGGCATGGGAGAATTGATTAAAATTTGAAGTGTAGGAATATGTGAATTATTTTTTTTACACGTGCTATATACATGATATTTAATACAAATTCACAAGGTAATTAATTATGTTCTTTTATATATTATTCTGTATTTCAGTCAACTACAGAATGTGAAGATGCAATCACATTTTTTACTGCATTTATTTAACAGTGTCTTTCTATCTCTTTTTTTTTTTTTTTTACCAGCTATTCACAATCTTTAACAAAATGCCAACATATTTTTGTTTTAATTAATCAATTTAGTTTAAAACTAAATAATAAAAGGCTTTTGAATCTTACCTGAATTTACACCAAGTCCCATGTCTATGAAAAATACCAGCAGGATTGAAGTTTTTTTCCAGAAATACATGTTGAGATTGTTCGCGTGAGATGGCTGTTTGTTTAAAATGATTACAATTTATCTTTTGAAATTTTCTCTCTCCAGCACAATTTGTATGAACATAGTCAGCCAAATGCACCTGCCATTAGTGTTTCTCCTCTGTTAAATTTCAACATCAACCTGATGAAGACGATGTGTGTGTGTTCCCTGCAAACAATAAATGTCATCAGGTATGGGCACTTTTGCGTAAAAAAAAAAAGTAAGTTCACGCCTTGAGTAAACCACACTGATTGGGAGTGTATGTGGTTTTGAAATGCCTGAACAGTTATATGACCTTCACCTGTTACACCCTTTCCAAGGAATTCTCAGTACGACAATGCAATAAATCCAAGAGAAGAAAAGAAACTTTCTCTTTCATTTGTGTAAAACAGATATCAGGTCAAATTATGCGTACATACAATAAAACATCAGTTTCAAGTTTAGTGGCTATTCAAGGTCATGCATTGCAATTTGATTTAAAACACTCTTTGTGCTTGTACTGTTATCTAACATTTTGTCGATCATGATAAATCCTTTAAGAAAGCGAATAATACCTAATAATACCTAGTTTATTACTCCAGACAAAGCCAAAGATTACCTGAAAGTTCTCAGATCCAACTTAACTGTTTACCAAAACTAAACAGGCAGGAGATGACGTGGATTGGAAGCTGTGTTTTGAGTTGATGCCTTTCTTATATTCATCAAGTTTTGTTATAGCCTAATAAGTGATGGAGTGGTTTTACAACGGTTTCACATTATCATGTTACATTCTTCACAAACTCATCAGTTTAAAAGTTAAACTAGGTCCTGCTTGGGAAACAGAAGCTAGTTGGCACCAGTCTTAATACAAGAAATAAACGAATACATTGCTTTGAGGTTGCTAGGCTGTGCGTAAATATGGCTTGGGTCACTTAGGTCTATGAGATTTTTCCACCTGTTTTATCGTCTGCCAAAAAAAAGTCATAAATCAATTTGCTTTGTAAATTAACGGCACACCTTTTGTCAACAAGCCGCATGATTTGAGAGATCAATCATGCCCATCACACAAACAATACAGGACAAGTTATGTGCTGAAATTTAATACTTAAGGTTAGCAACGTTGGTTTCTTTTGTTCATATGACATTCTATAAATAGTGACTTTGTGTTAATCAATATTATATGGCAACCACACGAAAACAATGACTCTACAGTGGGTGTAGAATATGTTCTTGACCTTAGGTCATGTCTTCCACACCTGTTTGCTATCTCAGAAACATTTTTGAGTCATAGAGAATATCTTTAGTCATATGTATTACATAAAACCAAAGGGCACTTCCATGAAAATGTCAAGCATACCATGGAGAAAAGAAAACAAACTTTCGAGCTGCACTGCATTAGAGTGATATAATTGATTTTTCATCCACCACACACAAGGTGTGCTCAAAAAGCAGTAAAGGGTTTAATTTTTATTTCAGTCAATTTGATCATAGAAAGACATGATGCCTGATCTGGTTTGCTGGTTTTAACTGGAGCCAAACTAGTGTTTAGCTGGTTTAGCTGAGCAGCAGACCAGTCTGAGACTATCTTGGGGTTTCTTTTTTTCTTTTTCTTTCTTTCTTTCTTTCTTTCTCTCTCTCTCCCTCTTTCTTTCTTTCTTTCTTTCTTTCTTTCTCTCTCTCCCTCTTTCTTTCTTTCTTTCTCTCTCCCACCCTCTTTCTTTCTTTCTTTCTTTCTTTCTTTCTTTTTCTTCCTTTCTTCCTTCCTTCCTCTTTCTTTCTTTCTTTCTTTCTTTCTTTCTTTTTTCTTTCTTCCTTCCTCTTTCTTTCTTTCTTTCTTTCTTTCTTCCTTCCTTCCTTCCTTCCTTCCTTTCTCTCTCCCTCCCTCCCTCGTTCTTTCTTCCTTCCTTCCTTCTTTCTTTTTCTTTCTTTCTTTCTTTCTTTCTTTCTTTCTTTCTTTCTTTCTTTCTTTCTTCCTTCCTTCCTTCCTCGTTCTTTCTTTCTTCCTTCCTTCCTTCTTTCTTTCTTTCTTTCTCCCTCCCTCCCTCGTTCTTTCTTTCTTCCTTCCTTCCTTTTTCTTTCTTTTTTCTTTCTTTATTCCTTCCTTTCTTTCTCCCTCCCTCCCTCCCTCGTTCTTTCTTTCTTTCTTTCTTCCTTCCTTCCTTCCTCGTTCTTTCTTTCTTCCTTCCTTCCTTCTTTCTTTCTCTGTCTTTCTTTCTTCATTCCTTCCTTCCTTCCTTCCTTCCTTCCTTCCTTCCTTCCTTCCTTCCTTCCTTTCTTTCTTTCTTTCTTTCTTTCTTTCTTTCTTCCTCTCTTTCCAGCATGGTATACACTACCCTTTTCATTATTCCAGTAATTGCTTTGAAAAACTAAACTGACCAGAGCAAAACCTGAACACCATTGGGATGGATTGAAACAGCGTGACTGGCTGATGCTTTTGTGT